GGGCAAATCCCTAAATACAAACGGTCAATGGCTCTCCACTCGAGTCAGCCAAATCCCTTGGCCTTAAGCCGAAAGGATCATGTCACAGCCATTCCATGAATGAGTCCTATTCGGCTTATGAAGCTCATGCACTGGCTGGGGCAAGGGCAGATTTATTAATCTAATCGGCCAAGGATTTAAACCTAATGCCGATCGATTTATGCCATAGCCATTCCATGAACGAGTCCTATTCAGCTTATGAAGCTCATGCACTGGCTGGGGCAAGGGCAAATTTATTAATCTAATCGGCCAAGGATTTAAACCTAATGCCGATTGATTTATGCCACAGCCATTCCATGAATGAGTCCTATTCGGCTTATGAAGCTCATGCACTGGCTGGGGCAAGGACAGATTTATTAATCTAATCGGCCAAGGATTTAAACCTAATGCCGATCGATTTATGCCACAACCATTCCATGAACGAGTCCTATTCAGCTTATGAAGCTCATGCACTGGCTGGGGCAAGGGCAGATTTATTAATCTAATCGGCCAAGGATTTAAACCTAATGCCGATTGATTTATGCCACAGTCATTCCATGAACGAGTCCTATTCGGCTTATGAAGCTAATGCACTGGCTGGGCAATGGCAGATTTATTAATCTAATCGGCCAAGGATTTAAACCCAATGCCGATCAATTTATGCCATAACTATTCCATGAATGAGTCCTATTCGGCTTATGAAGCTCATGCACTGGCTAGGGCAAGGGAAGATTTATTAATCTAATCGGCCAAGGATTTAAACCCAATTCCGATCTATTTATGCCACAGTCATTCCATGAACGAGTCCTATTCGACTTATGAAGCTGATGCATTGGCTGGGCAAGGGCTGATTTATGCCGAAAGGATTGTACCTCAGCCATTTCATGAACCAGACTCATTCGGCGGACAAGTTCATATCTAAGGCAAGGGCAGATTCCTTAAATCTGAATCATGAATATCTCCCAACTTTTGAATCATCCATCTTTTTAATAGAATAATTGTCTATTCATTCAACTAAGTACAGGAATAACACAAAATAAGGAAAATTTTCATTAAATAACACAAAACAAGGGAAAATTTCATTGACAAACTGAATATAGACAGAGTATCACTTTATACATGAAGATCACCCTGAGTAAAAATAAAATAAAAGAAAATACATTGAAATTCCTAGGCAAAAACAACCAGTGTGGCATCCTAAGGGTCCTCGGGGTCAGACTCCAGCGGCTCGATGTCCACTTGCTCATATGGAATTGGCTTTGCCAATGTCACATTTGCAGCAGCAAGGGCTTTGAGCCAGCCGTGCTTGAATCCCCGATTTTCAAATTTAGGAGCTTCCTCCGCATAGCTCTCAAGGGCGGCGTCTTGCCCGGCCTCGTATGCCTTGGAAGTCTCGGAGTTAGCTTTTTCTTTTGCCTTCTTCAATTCTTCCAATTCGTTCTACAGCCTGGCAACCACCTCTTGGGCTGACTTGAGTGCTTCATCGCTCGCGCTTGCCCTCTACTCGGCGACCAATCTCTACTCTTTAGCATTTTTCGCTTTCTCCATTTCGGCCTCCGCCCTTGCACTCTCCATTGTCGCCCTTGCCACCTCAAAGTTGGCCCTACTCCTTTCGCCCTCCACCTCATATCTTAAATGGCCTATTTCTTCGACGGCTTCGTGCTGACGCCGCCCTCGCTCGGCTATCCTGCCGACTGTCTGTAAAATAGAATGTTAAAACCAAAACAAATACACGCAGAAACGCAAAAGATAAGATTAAGACACATACCAGAAGAGTTGTCTGAGCGACCAATGCAATTGCTAACATGTTCGGCTCCGAGCACAAAGCCGCCTTGTCAGCCGGCAACGTGACTGACGAAGCCAGGCTCAACGCCACGGTTGGGTCTTTCACAGCCGATGCATAAGAGGAGATCGGTACGTTTTTTTATCTTCGGCTGAACCACAAAAGGAACAACCACGTCCGACTCCTCCAAGCGCGGCCTTTTCTCGACTGGAATTTCTTCAAAAACGACCTCGAAATCGGCGGGTCACTTTTCCCTACCCTTATCGGCCTCTGGAGTCAGACTTTCAACTGACCGTTCCGTCTCAACAGAAACAATTTGAGCCATTTCAACAACGACAACCTTCTCGGATGATTCAGGAAGGACAGCTTTGGAAGTAGTGGCCTCGGCCTTCTGACGGGCGGCCAAACGCTCAGTATTCTTTTTTCGTGCCAACTGAGAAAGAAATTCCTTTGCCATACCCTCGGAATAGGAGCTGGGCAGATCTTCTAAGCCAGTAAAAATATCTCCAAAGGAAAACTCCCCTCGACCCGAAGTGGACGGCGAGTTAGGCTAATTAAGACCGACTGCTTCAAACGCTGATTTTAGAGCCTCGTCGACCTCCTTGGCCTCTGCAGCGAACTCTCTCGTTCGTTCAGCAACTACCTTGACCACCGGCTCTACCTCTCGCTCTGAATCAGATGCTTCAAAACCAATTTGCCTAAGGATCTTGAAGCTGGGGAAGACAAAAGCCGTAAGATGTTGTTCGCCGATTAGGATAGGAATGTTGTCCATCGCCGAGAACGTAGTATAAGTAGGCTCGTATCGCAGGAGTATATGGGCGGCTCTCCCTTGCTTCTGTACGTTTGGACGACCAAAATACTTGAGTGCAGTCTTAATTTCAGCAAGGGCCGCCTTGTTGGTCGAAGTCAAAATCTTCTTTAACTGATTGCCTGCATAAACAAAGGATTAGACTGGTAGAAAAGGCCGAGCAAAAGAAAGATCAATAAAAATGAGGATTTACACGGCAACCTGGTTCACCCCTCCGTCTGGGTATAGGGTCTAGGTGTTCTTCGCCGTCGCCGAATTCCCAATTGCCTCGGACATTGACCATCACATCATTAACTCGTTTGCCAGACCTAACAAGCATGGTTACCGGGTGGTGGTCAGTGTCCTTGGCCCTGAGAAAGTAGCGCCCGTGCCGACTGGAGGATTTGGCTAAAGCATAGCAGTGCGGAATGGCCGGAATGCCAAGGTTAATCCTAAGGCGTCGGTTCAACTCTACGATTCCCATAATGATTTGAAAAAAATTCACATTGGGTTAGGAAGGAATCAGACCCCAATGGCGGAGGACGGCCCTAAGGAATGGGTGTAGGGGAAAACGGACTCCGCCCTCCGCAATGGATAGGAGAGGAAAGACGATTGTATTTTGATCTTCCCTCTCCATATCAAGAGTATTGTCCGTCACTAGAGATAGGTGGACATCATAAGGGATAGAAAAATGTCGTCGGAACCCCGAAATACGACCCTTGGAAAGGAGGTCTTTCAAGTGCTTAGCCATTCTAGTGAGGACTCAAGGTATGCCAAATCTAAAATAAACACGAAAAATAGGATTACAAAGAGAAGAGAAGAAAACTTACAAGAGGCAAAGGAGACAAGGAGAGACGGGGAGAAGTTGCAGAAGAGGCGAATCAGAGAAGGGATACCGACTGGCAATCCAGGAGGCTCAAATATTTGAAAAAACATACATTCGAATGGACTGGAGTTTCAAATCGTAATAAATGCGAGAGATGCACGAATGAGGCGGGAAAGTATAATGATGACCGAAGGATGTGTGCGTTCTGACATTCACATTGGGATAGGTGAAGCCGCCTAACTTTTGGTTCTCTTGACTCTTCAAAATTCGAAACCAAACACACCCAATAACTACCGTCAATGGGGAGTTTGGGGGGCAATTGTGGGAGCCGAATAAATGGCAGAATCAGAAGCGCACACTCTGCAAGATAGATACTACTCGGCTCCATCCTACACGATCAAGAGGCCGAATGAATTGTGGGAGCCGAATAAATGGCAGAATCAGAAGCGCACACTCTGCAAGACAGATACTACTCGGCTCCATCCTACATGATCAGGAGGCCAAATGCATTAGATAGGCCGAGTATCTATTGAACTATGAAGCTGAGTAAATAAGAGAATAATGAGTGAAAAGTGGGCCAAGCCCCGAGGCCCAGGAAACGAGTATAAATAAAGGAGCAACAGACCAACAAAGGTATGTGAGAACTATTACACTTAACTTAAAATACAAGTAATCTAGAGAGTAGAGACTGACTTGCCCGTCGGAGTGCTAATTCCAACACCCCCGACCGGAGTGTTGATTCCTTTTCAAGTGGCTAGCTGAGGATCACGAGCGTCCCCCAGGACTAGAAGAGTATTTCCAAACCATTTCTCCACAATTTTTTATCAATTAAAATTTATGTAATCATTTTAATCTAACACTAAGAGCATCTCCAACCGTTCATTACTTTTTTTTACCAAATCTGAGTAAAAAATAGGTGATTTTCTCAATTTGATATGGCTTCCTCCAACGGTGAGCATCAAAAGGGGGAGGGTCGTCCGGCCGGTCGACTAGTAAGGCCATAATTTTTTTTCTCTCCCTTTCTATTCCCAATTCTTTTCCTATTTCTTTTTTCCTCCATTACATATATTTTGTTTTGGTTTACCTCCAACAATTATTTGCTTCTAAAATCTCATATAAACACATTATTCATATGCCAGACAAGTCCAGACAACTGATACGATCATAGCTGAAACAAAACAGAACATAATGAATACCTTCAAATTCATGATGTTGACTTTATTTTCATCATCATCTTCTTCTTCCTCCTCCTCTGATGATGAATATATGGTCACACTTTTAGGGGCTTATGAGAAGAATAATACTAGTATGCTTCAGATTCTTAAGTCAAGTGATAGCTCAAAGAAAATAGGAGGTTCTGTTGTAGGCCATAAGTATATGCGCAGAGATAGAAGGCTGGATCATGAGAGATTGTTTGCAGATTATTTTGCTACAAACCCAGTGTATTCACCTACAATATTTCGGAGACATTTTCGAATGCATCGTCCTTTGTATCTGCGAATTTTGAATGCAATCCAAGCACACAATTTATATTTTGTTCAAAAACAAGATGCAGCTCATGTAGTTGGATTATCTCCCCTACAAAAATGACTTCAGCGATGAGAATGTTGTCATATGGTGTTGCAGCAGATGCAATTGATGATTATATGCGTATCGGGGAAAGCACTGCAATTCAAAGTTTGCAACAATTTTGTAATTCAGTGATTGAAATCTTTGGACTAGAATATCTGAGATCTTCAACACCAACTGATATTGCTAGATTACTTGCTATTGGGGAGGTTCGGGGGTTTCTGGGTGTGTTGGGAAGTTTAGATTGCATGCATTGGGAGTGAAAAAATTGTCCAAAGGCATGGCAAGGTCAATACGTAGGCCATAAAAAAAAGCCAACCATTATTCTTGAAGCAGTAGCATCTTATGACTTATGGATTTGGCATGCATTTTTTGGAATGCCTAGCTTACACAATGACTTGAATGTGTTGGACCGATCGCCTTTGTTTTCTGATCTTACTCAAGGTAAAGCTCCCCCTGTCCATTACACTATTAATGGACATAGTTACGATATGGGTTATTACCTTGCTGATGATATATACCCTCAATGGGCAATACTGGTTCAAACAATTTCTTCTCCCCAAAGAGCAAAGAAACAACATTTTACAATGGTGCAAGAGTCTGCCAGGAAAGATGTAGAGCGGGCATTCGGAGTGCTTCAATCTCGATTCGCAATTATAGGTGGTGCTGTATGTTTTTGGGATCCGAAAATGCTTGCCAACATAATGAAGAGTTGCATTATATTACATAATATGATTGTCGAAGATGAGAGGGAAAAGCACCTTGATTTTGATTATGAAATTTCATCAACCAACACACCAGTGCAACTTTCCTCTACTCCTACGTCTTAATCAGTTACAAATGATAATACCACATAAATTTAAGTACCAAAGAATTACAAATGATAATAACCATGTCTTAATCAGTTACAAATGATAATACCACATAAATTTAAGTACCAAAGAATTACAAATGATAATAACCATGTCTTAATCAGTTACAAATGATAATACCACATAAATTTAAGTACCAAAGAATTACAAATGATAATAACCATGTCTTAATCAGTTACAAATGATAATACCACATAAATTTAAGTACCAAAGAATTACAAATGATAATAACCATGTCTTAATCAGTTACAAAATAATGAGAAAATGCTTACTGATGTTGTTGGAAGTCTTATATTAAAATTCTAGTCTTATATTTAAATATTGAAACATACAAATGATAATACCACATAAATTTATTCACAATTCATATTTATTGATGTGCCATATGATTTTATTCAGTATACGAATTTATTGATGTGGCATACAAATTTATTCAGTACATATGTTCAGTACATATATGTATTGGTGTCCAATTTATTTGTCTATATATTTATTGATGTTGGTTGGTTTGTTACTGATATGTTGCCATTCATTTATTGATGTTGGTTGGCGTGGATGTTGCCATTCATTTATTGCCTCAGTTGAAATGCATTCAACCTACAGAGGTGGCATACTACTTAATAATGTTGCCATTCATTTATTCAGTGGATAAATGCATTCAACCTATAGAGGTGGCATACTACAGAAGTGGCATACGAATTCTATGGCTCAAATGATTCAATGCGTCATTTTACACACACCACCATTCATTGAATTCATTCAACCAATTTAGTTGATATTAATTCCCTCCACCACCTACCTCAATAATTCATCCTCTATATCAGCTCAAGATTGTATACAAACCTGGCATCACCAAATTCACTCTATCCACAAATCGCCTCTATAAGAACACATTCACTGTATTCCCTCCACCACCACCTTCAAATTCAGCTTAACCAATTTCTATTCCCAAACATTGCATATTCACTATATTGTAAGTGTGAATCCACAGAATCAGCAAGGCAAACCATCTGAATCAACAAAGCCAACATCAGCAGAACAACAAGGCAGCATCAAAACAGAGGTAGTCTGTATCACACGGGTCAACCGGTTGGTCAACCGGTGGGTCAACCGATTGGTCAACCGGTCTTGCACATTTTTTTTTTGCCTTTCAGTGTGCACTTCCTTCCACTTCTTCGGCCCTTCTTTCAATGAGCACAACAACATGCTTTATTTGTTCAACTTTAACCTTCTGAAGAGCATAAAATTCATGTTTTAATCAAACTACATTCATGTTTAATATTGGAAATTAACTTCTGTTATACAGAACACATTCACTGGCATATTAACTTCCATTGAATTTTTACTTCATGTTCTTTTTCCATTTCAGTGTGCACTTCTGCACTTCTGAACAACAAACACTGCATATTAACTTCATGTTTTCATTCAGCATATTAAAATGCAGTGTTTATTAAAATGCAGCATAACACCACAAACACTGCATATTAAAATTCAGCATAACACTAGAACAACAACAAGCCAACTCTAATTCAGCTTTCATATGTAACACATCTTCATTAAAATTCAACTGATATTTACATCATGCCTAGAACTAAAAGAGCCAGACCATAACTTGGTGAAAGTTCCAACCCTCCACGACGCCAACAACAGCAGCCTCAAAATCAGTCATATCCTACTAATGATTTTCTCAGTGAAAGTCATGAACAAGCCTTTCCAAACTTCTCCAGCCGATCTATTGTAACAGGGAGGAGGGTAAATTTGCCACCTCAATATGATGCACTATTAGTTAATAAACTTGAAGCAATGGGATGGCTAAATTTAATTAATTTACCCCAAAAGGTATATCCACAGCTGGTATCTCTATTTTATGTTCACCTAAGAGGTACTCAGGAAGAAGATGGAAATTTTACTCTTTTGTCGTATGTGAAAAGAAAGGGTATACAGTTTGATATTCCTACTTTGGCAAGCATTATTGGAGTTAAGGTAGGTGATGAAAATATCCATTTTCAGAGTGAGGCTGAGTTAGTTAATATTGTTGGTAATCCTAGTGACGTATATACTACTATTTGTCAGAACATATTTACTGGGACTAATCTACAAGCAAGACATTTAAAACCCTATCTTTGGATTCTCCACTAGTGGATTGTAGAAAATGTCACTCCGAAAAAAGGACATCATAATGCGGTCCCATATTTTAATGCCTATTTGTTATACTGTTTTGAAGTTGGCCATAAGTTAGATTTGTGTTACATAATAATGAAAGAAACGATGTACGCAAATCTTGCTCAATTCATGGGCCGGTCATTACTGCTTGGGGCACTCTTGATAAAAATTTTCAAACATTTTAGGATTCACCTTGTAGATGAAATGGAGATCAAAATATGTTCACCCATTAATCAGTATACAGTGACCCGTGCTGGTGGAGCCTCCAATTTAATGGGAAGTGTTAATGCTCCAGAAGATTCAGAAGATGAAGTCCCACCAGATGATGCTCCAAAAGATCCTCCTGCCAATGTGATGCCATCAACTGAACAACCTCAATATTAGACTGAGTTTTTGGCCATGGAAGAACAACGTTATAATCAACGTGTTCAATGGGAACATCAAATGGCTAATCAGGTCAATTCGTTAGGTACTCAGTTTGATACATTTGCCACTACATAGAACTCATTAATTCAACAATTTGGTGAGTTTCGTTTGGACATTGAAAGACGTCATGAAGTGGAAAACAATTGCATAGATAGGATTCGGCATCACGTAAATGACATATGCCATCACTACTTTCCTCCTCCACCACCACCAGGTAATGACTGTTGATGTGTTCAACTAATATGTATTTGCATTGTTTTGTATTTTGTTATTTTGACAACCTTTTGTTGGGTCAATTTCTTTTATAAATGTAGTTGTTTTGTCTTGTATAATATAGTAGCTTCGTATATCATATTATCTGATATAAAATCCTCTGTTAGTTTTTCACTTATATTGCCTTGGTAATACATGTGCACCATCTTTTGAGCTTCAGTGATGCCATGTTAGTTGAATTTTATTAATAAATTAAAGAAGGTACCAACCACAGAATTTGTTCACTTCCATTGCCAATCAATACATCTGCAGCATGTTTTTCACTTCCATTGAATTTTTGGGGCATGACCATGTTGTAGAGACATGAGACCAATACATTTTGGGGCATGACCATGTTGTACCAATCACAGAATGAAATCAATACAATTATATGTTACAAAAAAAAGAATGAATTACAAATAATTCCAAATATTAACCATTATAATTGTAATGGACTGAGAATTGAATTCTACTTTGGGATGTACTTCTGCAAATTGAAACTAGGAGTGTAAGGCTGCATTTTTAAAATAAAAATAACTTCTGGTAATTATGCACCTTTAAACAATGATGAGAATGCTGTGTGAATATTATTGTAAAACTGATAAAACATGCACTAAAGACTAACAACAACTAAAAATGGAAAATAGAATCCCACTAACAATCACCACTAATTTGTTCCTTTTGTGAAAAAAAATAAAAAATTTATGGCATCGTTTACGTGGTGTTTTCAATAAATAAAAAATTATAACATACATTAATAAATTTATTTTTATTTGCTAATTATCTAACAAATATAAAATCATTATGTTCCATTTAATAAAATTTTGATTACATGATTACTTATCACATTAATAATTCCAATACAACTAACCAATACAAGTTTGATTTAATATTTTTAAATAATAAAACCAATAGATGAAAGCCACTAATACAGAACCTTTCAAGGCAGAGTTGTTCGAAATAAAATCTGTCGTTGAAGATCTTCGTAGTACGCCATTTGCATAGGATTTAAAATTGTCATGTCCATTGACATTATTTTATGATATTCATTTCGTTGTTTTCTTTCATTCATCATAGATAGGAGTTTTAGTTGTTCCTCCCTATCTTCGGCCCTTCTTCGACGCTCTGCAGCCTTCTGCTCACGGTTTATCGCCTTTTGTTCACCTCGCTCAATAGTTCTAGCGGAGATCGTTGATAATACTTCAACAATTTTGGATTGGTTGGTGGCCATTTCATCAAATCTACTGTCGTGTGTTGTTTGATTCTTCAACTTCTCTTTCCTTGCCTTAGTACCAATTGGTAGTGTTGATGTATTAGATGGTTGTTCGTGCACTGCATTATTCTGGTTGGGTTGAAATGCCTCATATTCAGTTGGTGGATTCGAACATGGATAAGCATGTTGCGTGCTTCTTTTGGGTTGTGTTCGAAATTCATTCCACTTACAACTTCGGCGCAAAATATCCTAACATGTATCAAATGTGAAGTGTTTTTTTCTGTATTGCACGATACATCCGCTTCGCTTCAGCGACCTACAAAAAAAATTACAAAAATTTCAATAACAAGTATACATTTAGAAAAGAAATTTGATATTTAAGAACACAAATAAATTTTACCATGTCTGCCTTAGTTGTTCCACTTTGTTACCTCAGTTGAATTTGTTCAAGAAAATCACAGAATTTATTAATTGCCTTTTGCATGCTAGACCAACGGTGAGACAAAGAAATACGGTTTCGATTTGATTCACCGCTCAATTGTGAATTAAAATAAACAAGTACCCGTTCCCAAAATATAGCCATAGTCAGACTATTACCAGTAATGGGATCTTGAGAGACTGCTGACCAAGATCTACATAAAGTTTCATCTTTTATAATTGTGAACGCTTTATCACGAGAAACACAAGAAGTTTCTGAAATAAAATGATTATCAGTGTTCTGCGTGTTCTGCTTTCGTGAAGTTTCCGACATAAAATTAATATTAGTGTTGTGCTCTAACATTTGTAATTCCTCAAACATTTCAAAATCTTCCATAGTTTGAAACAAATTCAGTAGATACAATATCTAACTTACTGAAAAATATTAGAATGATATACACTCAACCTCAAAATCAGATAATATAATCAGATAATATAAATTAAAGCGCACTGAGAAAAAAAATTATAATGACACAGAACAAACAAAATTCACAGCATATAAAGTAATGTTATTATGAAAATGAAATACTGTGTCAACCCAACTGAAATTCACAGCATGATATTACGAAACAGATATATTTTATAGAGCACATCAGCAACGGTAAATTTTCAAAATACTCTATCCATCCAACGGTAAATTATTGGAACGACTAGTTCTGAAATATGTATATGAGATGTAACTCTTTCAATTATATTTTCTTGGGAATTTAAATTTATATCACCCTTCAAATTATTCATAGTCCACAAAATAACCTATCTCAGTTCAAACCAGTTCGCACCTGTCGAACAAAACATATGCAGAATTGAGGAACCGGTTGACCGGTTGGTCAACCGGCCGGGCAACCGGCTGGTTGACTGGTTGGTCTCCCCTAACAGTAACGCACAGTAAAATAGTGAAATTTGGAGCCTCTTTTCACTTTGATGAATTTTTTGTTCCATTCTCATTTTGATACCAATTTGCTGAAACCATTGGAGCAAAAGTGACTTTTTCACCAAATTTAAAATCTGATGCAAGGTTTGATGAACTGTTGGAGATGGCCTAAGTAGGTAACATCAACAATCTCCACAATCACTACACGAAATCGCTAAAAACATAGAAATGTTAAACCATACTTTACCAACATACACCCAAATCCCCAAAAAAAAAATTAAAATCAAATCTCAAATAAGGGCAAACAAGTAAACTCTAATATTACTAAATCAAATCAATAATATATAACACAAATAAAAAGGACTAATTAATTTACAAAAAAAATACATATAAAACTAAATGGACTAACATTTCTCCAAATAGAATTTATGATTATTTTTTTCTTAAAAATTTAAGCGGTTATAAACAAATTTTTATTTATGTCCTCAAAGAGCACAACAATCTAGGCATACATAAATAGCATTTAAACAAGGGAAATTACAGATCAATGGTAATTTCAAAAAATTATTACAAATTCATAAAAAAATTATGTTCTTTAATTATTAATATTTATAGAATTTATCACTTATGTGTAATTATTTTTCAAAATCAAAATGAAATTCCCCTGTAAACAGCTGAAGGTTTGTAGACTTTCTTTTCTGGTTGAACATATGGTTATTATATTGAACAAACAGTTTGGAAGTGGTCAAGCAAATAGAATTTTGGAGGAGATTGTTTTGTTTAATCATTTGTGTAATGATTTTTTAAATCCTTTGGAATATCTCAATATATTAGTCAACTCTTTCCTATCCAATTAGAAATGTCAATTATGTAACAAGTTCCATTTATAAAGTCCTCTCTTGCTCACCCCAACTTGCTTATCTATTATTAAAATAATTTGGTGATTATAATATTTGCTAGAAAGATTATACTGTGGACAAAAAAGGCAATTCAATAGAGGGCATTCGTTTTTGCTTTTATTTTTTAAAATATTTTTTGGAATAGTAGCTAATAAATACATAATTATATGCTCATTCAACCATGAAATTTGGGTTTAAATTCTCTTAATGATGTCTACTTGTGTTTCTCAATGCATAAACTATGTTGGTTTGTTGAGAGAGTTAGAATTTGACATGTCAACGTACAAATGATAACGCAAAACCTAGATTGATTTGCCTTTGCATGCACATAAAAATTTATGGAATGGAAAAAATTAGGGAAATTTAATCAAAACTTCTCGCTTTGACCTTTATTTAATCAAAATGACAACTTAATTTATTTTGCATCATAAACTCCTTGAGGAGAAGGCGCATAATTGAGTAAGGATATAGTACAATATATATATATATATATATCACAGAACTTTTTTGACAAGAAATACTTTGATTTTATTTTATACAAGTTTAAAAATTTGTGTATATGTATTTTTGGTTGGTTCATCTAGTATGTAACCATAAAATGTTACTATAAAGCAGAGTAACATATTACTGTTTATGTTAATTTTGACGGTATTTTTTTATTTTTTATTTTTTAAGAATTTCATAGTCAATATGTATCTTGTTTGATAGATCATGATGAGAGAATTCTAAAATACTACATTTTATTAAAAATCGACATTTAGATTAAAAGTTATATTCTTTTAAAGTTTAAAATATTAAATTACTCACTAAATATATTTTGACAATAGTGATATGTGTTAGACTTCTTAAAGAATTTTTTTTTATATTTATCCTTAATGTATTAAAGTTTTAATATGAGGGGATTTTGACCAAGTCTTCCAAAAAAATTATGGTGTTGGTTGATGACATTTATATTTACAAATTGCTATTAATATTTTAAAAATTTTGATAACAAAAAATATATATATTTTTTTGGTTTCTATTTTCATTTCAAAATAATATAAACAGTTTACAAAAATTTACTGAATTCCATAAATATAAGTAGGGCTGCAGACGAGCCGAGCCGAGTCGAGCTAAGCTTTGTCGAGCTCGAACTCGACTCGTTTATTTATCGACCTCGTTCATTGAGTTCGAATTCGGCTCCATAACTAACTACATTTGAGCTCAGCTCGACTCGTTAATATTAATGAAAATCAAGTTTGGCTCA